ACGCAAGAGTTTTCCGGGCATCACAGTTATATGATCACCTTAATACTATGATTGTCAACGGAGAAAAGGGATCTTGGATCTTAGGTATGTATAAAATCATAATAAAGCTATTGAATGCATATATTACGATATAATATTATACAATAAAGGTTCTGTTACGTCCTGTAGATTCCACGATTCTTTTCTTTCGTGGAAGATCGATCGTTGTCACTCGGATATTATTTATGAAATATAAGTAGTTAATAACAGTCTCGGACTGTTTATGGAGAGAGTAATCAAAGAATAATCTACCCCTTATTTTTCACTACGGATCTAAATATCAACCACGGGATTGAAGGCGATGAAATTCCAGACATAGAGAGCACGGTCCGTTCAAAACAAAAGATCGCAATAGATTCCTCTTTCGATAGACGAATAAATAATTGAATCAATTCCTAGTAGTAACTCCATACCCTTGGAGATAAAACCCAACGCCGGTGACCGATGCTAATTGAACAAAGACTAGATATCAAGTTGCTACGGAAGTTTAGAAATCATAGATTACACCTTTGAAACTCGAAGAGGAATCTGTTTATCGTCATCCAATACCGTGGATTCGTAACGGACGACGATCTTTCTTGATATAGTTCTAAGAAGAGATTGCGAATCTAGCGATAAGTTTCACACGAGACAATCAAAGTTTACACTAGCCATCCATTCCTATCCTTGGCGACACCACCCAAAACTGACCAATCCGATGCAAGAAACGGGGCGGATGACTAAAGTCAATTTCACCAATAAGCTCTCGGTGATCTTAAAATTTTTAAACAAAAGAGACCATCAGTACCCTTCTGGGGGCAAATCCCGCCAATCAAAATCTTAATCGGTCAAGCTATTATATTACATCCCATAAGGATCCACCTCCAAAAAGAGTCCTATATAAACCGCGATCTCACGAACCGAGCATCAATCAAAATAGAGTTGAAAATTGGCAGTAGTAGTCGAGTAGAATTGAGTTCAAGTTACAAAGCAATAACAGTAGAAGGTAGAGTTGAGTTGAAATAATAGAGTTGTGGCAG